ATGGCAACAAAACGACACCCTTTTTTTTCCCAGAAGGCGCCAAATACTACTCATTTTTATTTCCACCCTGTGAGCCTACAGAACTTTCTCTATATTTGTCCTTTTATTAACGTGCAGACCACATGACCACATCAAAGGTTCTTCAATGCTAACCTTACATTGGACTTTTTGTCCCTTACAATCAGCCCTTGTTTTGTTGCCTGGTAATCATAAATTTAGTGTAAATCCTAGAACAAAATTTTCTCTTCTTAAAAAACTAGGTTTATCCATGTGGTTTTAATTGTATTAGTTTATATAATAGAGCCAAAAGTTAATCTGTGAGGGCAATTCGTAACTTTGGGTCAAATCCTGCTTCCCTTAATCATGCAGGTGAGCCCATTGTTTTTTAGTATAATTACTTGTAAGAGATTTTTAGCCATTGCTGGTTGTTGTAAAAACCTTATTTTCTTGAGCAGTTCTAGAGCATCAGGCATCTTGTGTGTGCTGAGCATCATGTGTATCGTATTCAGACCTGAGAACAGTATATATATTTGTAAAGTAAATAATTAAAAATTGCAAACCAAAGAACTTTTAAAATACCTTTTCTTCCTAAAACTAGTAATTTTGGCAATTCACCTAATTTTTCAGGCCATTTATTCCACTCCTCTGGGGAAAGCTATGGAAAGGTATGATGCCTCCCAATTTTTTTAATATACATATATGTGTGTATATATCTATCTATCTATCTCTGTAAAATGTAAGGAACTTGATCAAAATATACTTAAGGCATATCTTCTAAAAAGAATTCTATTAAAAATGTCTCAAAAGTTTTCATTATAACATAATTTGGATCTTTTATCTCTGAGTTTCCTAGATATGATCACTTGTTTAATGTGTGGAATTCAATTACATTTGCCCTATTTTTTCTTGCTTGTAATTATATATGGATTTAACAATTGTGGCTAATATTGAACAAAGGCAGTCATAAAATTTATTTTGAGATTGTGTCTTGTATTATTTTTATTTTTTTTAAATGATCAAACTTTTCCATGTGAAAGATCCTCAGTTTTTTTTCTGATTTAAAATTTTATGAAGGCAGAAAGCTAACTGTACAACTCCTTTTGGTACCAGCTCACCATGCCTTCTCCTATGCCTGAATACCTGAATGTTCATTATATCTGTGAATCAGCTTCCAGACTGCTCTTCTTGTCCATGCACTGGGCACGTTCCATTCCTTCCTTCCAAGCCCTAGGGTGAGTATTCCAAAATCCTTTAAATGACTAAAATAAATCACTTATTCTGAAATATGTATTTTTACATCAAGAAGTTTTAATAGTTTGAATTTCACATTTGAAAAAAATCACTATTTTTCTGTTTAAAAGTATTGTCAGCAAATTTAAAAAAAATTTAAACGCATTTGTTAGAATTGTTTTGTAGAGCTTTGTGGAAATTCTCTCACAAAGAGTAAAATTTGGTGAAAAATGCCATTCGGGCTTATTAAAAAAGTATTTGCGAGTTCAAGCCCGTTTTCTCAGCCTTGTTTGACAAAACTGTTGGAAAGGTATAGGGCATGGTAGCGTCCCTTTTTATCCAATATCCCAGTGGCTAAGACACTCACCCAGGATGTGGCAGACCTGGGTTCAATTCCCACAGCTGCCTGAAAGAATTCGAACCATTATGTCCACCCCCCAGCTTAAGTGAATGTCCTAAGCACCAGGCTAGAAATTATTCTGGTGCAGGGCACTCTCATTGCCTCCTTTGCATAGTCTACTTGGCATAATTATTTTTTTAGACCAGGGACTAGAATGCAGGGGTAGGCTTACTCTTTATCACTCAGTTGAAGAGTCATTTTTGTATTTTGCCATGTTTCTTAATACATACATGATTGTATACAAAGAATAACAACTTCAGCAGAAGAGGTTGAAGGGTACCCCTCTGAGAATACTTTCTTGCTTGGAAGTTCTTATGTTTTTCTGGGAGATGGAAGACCCAAGTTGAAATCACCTCCTGCCTATTTCAGGAAAGGAATTTGAACCCACAACCCCCCCCCCCAATTAAATTCAGTCCAAAAAAATAAATGTAGTCAATCCAAACAGGCTTTTTTTCTTCACTTTTTTTTTTTTACTTTAGCTGGCAAACCAAAACAATCAGTTTATTCATACCACCCTACTAGTTGTATTCAGGAAGTGAAAAAGTGAAGAACTGCTTCAAAATTTATGCTGTGTCACTTCAGAAAAGGAAAATCTATGTTTGACTGCTGGCAGGGACCTAACCTTGTATATTTATAATATCACTTTTTTCGATTAGTGAATTTCTGGCAAGTCATGACTTCCTGTCATTCTTGAATTGTATGTGGTGAGATTGCACTCAGCCTGCATTCACAATGAGGATGCTTATCCAAATGTATCAAAGAAAGCTAGACAGTGGGGTTCACTGTGTTTCTGGGATGTATATTGTTCTGTTTTTGGAAATCATTTAGTGGGACTATTACTGCTGCAATTAGCCTATTACAGAAGATGTGAGATGGGTTAGCAAGGTTTAGCAAGCATTGAAGGAGGGGTTGTTTTGTTTTTTTTAAAGAGGATGGGAGTTGTGAGAACTAAATTGCATCTGCTCACTAAAAACAGTTGACATGCTCAATAAAGTTTCCACTGTCACTAATAGAATACGTTATTTCTTAAATTTATTTTTCCTATATTTTAATTCCCTTTCATATGAGGGGGAACATACTTAGTTCCTAAATAGAAGGAACCATTTCTGTGGAATTTTCCCAGATATTAGAGCAACTGTGGTATTAGAGCACCCATGATTAAAAAGAAATTAAAAAAATGTGCTTTCTGCCAGACATAATTCATGCTGGTCTCTGCTCTTGTATATAATGTCTTTGATAAATTCTGTGTTATTATCTTGATTGGTGTTTTTGTTTCCTCTTTGTGACTAAATCACATAATGAAGCACTTGGTGAGAGAATGGAAAGGCAATAGGTAATATTGCAAGTAGCCTCACATACCTGCTGATATCCATCTGAGCACTGGGAGGAAGATGTTTTGCGACTGTAAATGCTAGAGGCATCTGTACTGTTAAAATAATTTGTTTCTGTGGTATCAAGGAGCATTGCTTTTGAATTGTCAATTAGCTGTAAGGACAGATGACTTGTAATTGTCATATGTGTTTGCTCAAGTGTTTGAATAAAGGTGATTTCTACAGAATATAATCATAAAGAAAGATACATTTCACGTGGCAAACCTTCCATTTTGAAGGGGAAAGAAAAAAGTAAATATTTCCCTTCCTAACAAAGAAAAGCCCTGAAATGCAATAAAATGAAATAATATAAAAGATAAAGAAATGGAATAAAGTCTAAAAGTGATGATTTTTAAATAGCACTCTTCATCCAGCAGAATTTCAAAGCAGTTTACACATTAATACAGTAAATGGAAAGGGTTTATAATAAAAACAGTGCAAAAATAAAATCAAAGGATAGCATGCTTAAAAGCTATCTAAAGTATAGAAGCTGAATCTTTGCAAAAGAGTTGACAGGAAACGAACATAAAACTTGTCATTTAATTATTCAGCAATAACCCTTTATTCAAATGTTTGGATGTTTCGGTGAGAAAAGGAAATGTATTAGATAAACAAATACGAGTATTCCCTTCTTTTTTTTATCAGGGAACTTTTCCTTCTCTGCCCCCCCACCCTGGTCAGAGTTGGAGGCTATGTTGAGTTGCACTTTTTCTCCTGAAAGATTTGACAGTATTTTTTTGAAGGCAGGTCATCACAGGTTAATACATCTTTATTTTGAGCATTGTTTTTGTACTGTATCTGAAAAATGTTTTAGGACCGGGACTTGTGTCTTAATTGACACCATATTTCATTTTCTATTTTTCATGTTAAGCAACAATAATCAAAATGCAGAAAAATTCCTGGTGGCTACTTGTTTGGGAGGAGCTGATGGTCCAGAACAAGGCCAAAGATCATTTGTTACTGAGGAAGACAGACAACATATCCAGCCTGTTTTCCCATTCAGAGCAGCACCATCTTCAGCATGTTTGCTTTTTCTGCCTTCCTGTCCTCCACCCCCACCTCTCCCCAGCAGCAATACCCCTAAATTCCATTGTGAGACTCCAGTTATGAGTTTTAAGGAGCTTGGTTTGGACTCCTTACCCAAAACAAGCCTGGCTTATTGTTTTGGTGTTCTGGGTTGGTTAATAGAATATTAGTGGTCCAGATTCTTTCTGGCATCAGGAGAGGTTGGAAGTAGAGCCTTCATCAAGTTGGTTACAGCTTTGCATGCCTTGCAAGCTCCCTGTGTTGATTTAATTGAAGTCAGTTTAAAAACTCCTTAACTGTTGTGTTCTAGGGAGCTACAATGCTACAGAAGCAGATATTAACTAAAGAGTGGCACAGTGTACCTTGTCTATGCCACCTGTCCTGGTAGGTGGGTGGTAGGAGGGGGCTTCAGGGAAATGCAAGAGGTATAGGAGTTTCTTCCAGCCATATGACCACTGAAAGGTTATAGTCTGAAGCACAGTGGATCAAACCAGGAGATTTGGCCTAGTAAGCCTATATCCAGTATAGGGTAGTTCTGCATTAAGTAATTATTCATGCATGCTTGTAAATATAAATTTGCGTATGCTTGTAAATATAAATCATAATTGTTGTGGGGGCTAGAATTTTATTAACCTTCATGCAAAGGTTGTGTCCATCACGTTTTTGAAACCGAAAACTTAGCTTTAAAATATTTCAGTTCGTAAGAGGGGGTTTTTTCCATTGCTAGTATTTGTCTTTTTCCAGAATTTTGAAACGTGGGCACCTGAAACTGGCACCTCAGTGCAGTACTTTTTTCAGAGGTGCTGTGCTTTCATTAATGGCACAGAGGTGCCATTCATTAATTGTAGATGTTTAGCACTGCAGTAAACCAGGTTACTTTTATTGACCTGTGTGAATTTAGATACCTAATTTTAGATGCATACATTTGGAAATATATTTTTTGCATAACAGATTTCGTTTAGGGCTTACCAGCCAAAAATTGATTTCTCTACATAATCTAGTTTCCAGATTTCACAATGGTGACTTAACAAGGAAGGGATATGAAGAATGCCAGTAAGAAGGCCAGTGACTTGATTTCACTGTTGAATTTTTGCTATGTTTACTTTTCCTTAAAAAAAAAAAAATCAACCAGCTTTCAGGTGAAAAACAAAAATAAAATAAAGCCTTCAACTGGTTATAGACTACCTGCAATATAGGAACCATTTGAACTTCTGCTACTGTATGTAAATATTTTTAAACAAATGTAAATCCTGAGTAAACTAACATGATGGAACCTGTATCCACTGATGACTATCAGCTTGCTTACATTAGAGATGTATCTATTTTTTTAATTCCCTTTTTAAAAAAATATCAACTTTTACATAAATGGCTCATAACACAAAGCTTAAAATTTCAATTCTAGCAATTAAAAAAATGTTTGATCTGGCTCTTGTTTTGCTGGAAGTGGTTGTACTAGATGGTTGAACTAGATGAATAATTACAATTTATACTGTTCTCCCAGTACATTTGAAGCACTCTGTAAATGCCAGTGACAATTCCATTAACTAAAAAATATTTTGTTCCTTTAAATAGGCAAGATAACAGCATATCGTTAGTAAAAGCCTGCTGGAATGAACTTTTTACTCTTGGTCTTGCACAGTGTTCACAAGTGATGAATGTGGCAACTATATTAACTGCATTTGTTAATCACCTTCATGGTAGTTTACAGCAAGGTAAGATGCATTAAGTGTTTCAGATGCGTTAAGCATTTAATTGACTACTTGTCTATGAATTTACACACCATTGCAAGTATAATACAAGGTCCATTTTAAAAAATGGTAAATTTTAGCAAACCTGCAGAAGTCAGTCACATTAGTTTTTATTTTGTTCTGTTTCTTCCATTCCCTCCCCTTCTACCTCCATTAAAAATCTACATAAAATAATGTTCTCCCTTGCTAAAAATAGACACTTCAATTAGATACACTAACCATTCTCAAGGAACTAGCCATTTGCCCATCAAGAATGACAGGGGAGGGAGGGGGTTAGGATGGAGTGCTGCCACGCAACGCCCCATGCTGTCACTGTTCTGTCTTTTCTCACTTTTTTTTGTCTTTGTTGGTAAGGGGGAGCAAGGCTGCCACTGCCACCAGCACCCCAGTTCTGGGGCTGGTCTCCCCCCACCCTCCCCCTCACCTCTTTGCCCCAGTTCAGGGCTGGCCTCCCCCCACTCCCAGTCGCCGCTTCAGAACCAAGCTACTTTCCCACACTGCGCCCCATCTCCCCATCTCACCTGGCTTTTGTTTAGGTCTTGTGCCTGTGTGGTTTGCAGCGAGCAGGGTGGGGGAGCCAAGGCCAGCCGGTTCTCCATGCCGCTTGCAGGGAGCGGGTTTGGGGAGCCGAGGCCAGCGCTGCTGACCTCAGCTCCCCCACCCTCTGGCCAGTCCTTGGCGCAGATTTGGAGTCACGGCAGCGCTCCCCCACACTTGGAGCACTCTAATTGGCTTTTTCCGTTGGCTAATCAGAGTGTGAATAAAGCATTATGGACAGACAAACAGACTTAGGCTTTTATAGTATTATAATACTTGTGCTGTGAAGATTGGCCTGTGGCTTCCATTCAATCATTAGTCTCCTTTTAAGTTAGGCACTAGAGAAACAGTAGGACACATCTGTATTCTTTACCCATTGTTTCATTCTTGGTGCGCAGCCATTCAATATTAGTATCTCTGTGCCAGCATTGTCTATGGAGGACATATATATGCTTTTAGGTGACCTTGTACTGTGCATCTGAGACATAAAAAGCAGCAACTGTCTGCCCCTCAGTTCCTCTTCACCTCTCCTGGCTGTGAAATAATGCAACTTAGAGTCCACATCTTGATGCACTTTCCTTGTTAATTTACTTGCTTCTGGTATATATTATTGCTGGATTAGATTCAAGTTTTGTTAAATACCAATTTAGTTGCCCTTTGGCCTATTCATTTAATAGGTTCTGGTCTTTTTCACTTCACTGTGTTATATTTTTTACAGATACACTTTTCCCAAAGACTTGTTAACTTCAAGACTCTGGGATTCAATTACTGCCTCTCTCACCTAAAAATGACAGGCATGCTAGGAACCTATTTTGTTTAAGGGTTCCTATACCATGGGTAAATTAGCATTAAAAAGTATTTTAGAAGCCAAGGAAGCATGTTTGCAGACATGTTTATTGGATGAGACCTACTTTTCAGAAGTGTTGCAGGATGCACAGACTTCTCTCTTGTCCAAAGCTCCAGCTTCTGTCCGTAGTAGGACAATTTTATGAGGGGGGAAAAAAAACATTACTCCTTTGCAAAAGAGCGAAGTTGATCTTGCATAGAAGAGTTCACTAGGAAAACATGGCTTTCTTCATTACTTCCATTCTAACGAGGCCTTATGGCCCAATACAGATGACTTGGGATCTTGGAGGGGGCATGGAACTGCATTGGCATGCTAAGCTGAACAGGGACTGGCTGGTTTCTTGCTATGGACAAAGCTTAAATGACATTTCCAAGATTTTCCGTGGTCACTTTCAGGATTGTCATACTTAGTTCTGACAAAGATTATGAGGCTCCCTTTGATAGCAAGTGTATTCTTGCTAGCTGCCTTGGCACAGTGAACTCCAGTGTTCTCCAGCTGAGATATGAGATTTGTGACTATATTCTTTGATACCAGGAGACTTGCAAGTTTGGAGGAGCTTGAATCTCCTTTTTTTGTCATCTATTGCAAAAACTCCATTTGTTACTGGGACCTGCAGTATTTTTTTATTCCTACAGATACCCCCGAATCTGACTGTTCTTATATTCCCCATGCAAGGAGATAATGCAAGATTATCAGCTTAGTTCTTTGTATTGGTATCCAGCTCTGGGGGTCTTCAGTCTCTTACTCTGTAATACTACATCATGGTCTTTGTGAAGTCTGTGTATGGGGTCCATACAGACCAGTTTGCCATGTCTTTTTTTTACTGCCTCTCAGAAGTCAACCTCTGATACAGCTCTACAACATGGTCCTTCTGAGTTGATTTGCAGGAGTTTGCTTATTTTAAGAAAGAACTTAATCATACTGCAGACATAGCTTAACCTACAGTCTTAACACCTTCTTCTCCAAATGAAACTGTAGTCTCCTTTATGCAAAGTTTCAAGGTTTCTATAGAAAAGGTGCTGGAGTCTCAGCATATTCCAGGATGGACAAGGCAGATTGGTCAGCATGTATCTTTCAGCCCTGACAGTTAGTGAAATTTTGATGGCTTGTACTAGAAGGTATGGCAAACACCTTTGACTGTTGCCTGTACATCAGAAAAGGAAAGAATTATGCCCAGTCTGTAGGAGTAGATTTTTTTTTAATACATACCTAATGCCAAGATCATTTTCATGATTTTGTGTGTCCTTTATAAAAATGAAACAAGACAGAACAACACCAAAAAATATGAACTGATGGTTCTTGATTTATTTCACTATAAAAACCATTTTCTAGCAAGCTTGTTCAGTTCATAATTTCTAACTGCTGGCTCATTATTATGTTCTGGACTCTGGTAAGCTATCTGTGTTTGTTGAAATACACCTTTGCTTTATCTGCAGAAATGTGTCCTCTGCTAACAGGTGTAAGCCTCCTGTTATTGAAATGTCAGATTGTATAACATTACTTTGCTAAAAAAATTATTAGTAGGACTGAATTTACTTGTGAGCTGTGCTTTGCATCTCAGTCTTTAGTTGCCCTCTCTTGTTTACTTTGCCCTCTCTTGTTCCTTATTGACATTCTAATTTCATGGATTTTTAGACATACAGAAAGTTATTAAAGTTTTATTTTGTAATTTGGGGATCATATAGTTTTAACTATGACAAGCTGTTGTGATATTAAACTCTTACATTTCTTCAGCGGATCCCCCATAATCCTGCTAATAGTAGTAATTTCACCTTTCTCTAAACATGGAAAGATTCTCCAGTTCAGATTTTGGGAGTTTTGCATCTTGCCACCAGGCAAGTTGGTTGGAATTCCCTGGGAACTGAATTATCTCACTTTCAAGAAAATAATTGTGTATCGTGTCATTTAAGTGAACATTTTAGTGCGTCTGATCTGATGATTTGCCTAAGACGGGTATGGAGTAAGAATCTTTTATTCAGATTCTGGTTTGAGAATATCCATAATGCTTGTATGGGTTTGCTGCTTCTAGTAGCTCTAATAAACTGAATGAGTTTGGCACCACCCTGATTCTTAGCGAGTGCAGGTACAGCGCATTTGTGGAATTCCTTTTACTGGTAAATAAGCTTCTCCTTGCACACACTTTTGATGGTTGTATCAGGCTCCAGTCCACCTCTCATTACTGGATATGTTAATGACATGAATAAACTAATCATAAAGCATAGCAATTTTCAACTAGTCTCTAATCATTTAGAGCCTTGGGGTTTTTTCCAGAAAAGGCATGTGTTTCCAAATGAATGAATCAGGAATACATTTATGGAAAAAAAAGGAGAAAAAATCCAAAAACAAACCTCCATTCTGCATTTATATCTTGTATTAATCTAGATAAGTTGTCGTCCGACAGAGGAAAGCTAGTGATGGAGCATATCTTTAAACTGCAGGAGTTCTGTAACAGCATGGTTAAGCTTTGCCTAGATGGATATGAATACGCTTATCTGAAAGCAATCGTCCTCTTCAGTCCTGGTATGTAATTATTTTAAATGTACTTTTGCTGTGACAATGTCTAGAAAAACATCTAGAGCAGTGGTTTCCAACCCAAATGAGGGTTCTGGGGGCAATCCTAGTAGCACTGCACAGAAAAGATGAGCTGCACCACGTGCTGGAAGCTCCCCTGCCCCTGGGCCACTGCTGCCACCACCACACTCTGCTCCCAGCACTGGGGTGCAGGAAAAAAAAGGTTGGGAACCACTGGTTTAGAGTCTGGAAAATACAGCAACAAGCAATAAATACTCAGATGTATTTACTGTTTGTTGCTGTATTTTTCAGACTCTAGGTTGGAAGGTGATTTTTAAGTGTTTAGTTGCTCTGGTTTCAAACATAAATGTCAGTCTATCACAGTTTTAGGTCATTTACAGCAGGGGTGTCAAAGATATGGCTCACAGGCCAGATCTGGCCACAGAGCTCTGTCTTCCAGCCCACTGTCACCTATAGGTCTTGCACTGGACCCACATGCTTAATTTGGTTCACACCTGACCAACAACCTAGCGCACTGCACACCATGCACGGACCCATAGGTGCACTGCATGGTGCTTGTGGGGCCAGGACTAGTGCTCGTGCTTCATTTGGCATATAGTATTTCATCCAGTGCAGAGAGCAGGGCTGTTATGGGATGTTTGTGGCACATGCACTGGACTGACCCAGTGCACTATGTGTGGGGCAGTCTATGGGGCCAGTCCAGCCCACAGAGCGGTCCCATACCACTCATCTGACCTGTGTACCATCCATGTGCCACTCATCCAGTCTGCTAGGTCTGATAAGTTTAACACCCCTGATTTACAGAAGTTTTTAACCATCTCCCTCACAATTGCTGTAGCACCAGTGCAGTTCAGTCACTGCCATCAATGGAAAAAGTGAAAATGTAGATTAACCCCTACTGTGTTATTACACTGTGCTGTCTGATCTGTCTGTTGGGGGGAGATGTGGCAGAAGAGAAGACTTGGGGGACAATTCAGACAGCCAGGAGCTGAAATCAGATGAGCAAGTGAAGTGTTGGGGTTGGACTGGTTGAGAAAGCAAACTAAGATGACAAGCTTTGGTGTGGGGAAAACTGGGATGGGATTGGGGGTGGCAGACGAGCCAAAGAGCATGTTCAAAAGTAAGTCAAGCTCTGAAAGGTTAGCCAATGCTAGCATTACAGTTGCTTATACAACCTTAATTGAACTATTTTGTACATATGCATCATTATTATGTCTTTGTATTATCATAAAATGTAGGAGCCCTAAGTAGGGCCCCATTGTGCTAGGCTCTGTAAAACACAGCATAATTATTGCTGTCTTTAGAAACACTTCTACAAAATAGACTACAGCTTTAATTTCTAACTGTAACAAAGTAAAAAGATGTTCTAAAAGATACAGAAAAAATATACCTGTCCCTAGTAGTTAATGTTTCTTTGTATAGAGTGAATGTGCTGTGGGGATGAATCGGGGTTCTGTGATGATACTTGTATCTATAGCGACCCTGCCTCATTTGTTTCAGAAGTTGGAAGGTAGATAATGAGCAGGTGTAGCAGGCCAAGCATGTTTTATTTACCTTCAGCCTCTGCCTTTTAGTTTTTTCATGACAGTATCAAACCAGAGCCCCGCCTCATGAGTCACATGCCTAACCACAGATGTTTCTTGGGTAACAGATGGCAATTATGGGGAACACACAATTTCCTCACAACCAGCCTTCGATATAGACCACAATATGAACACCCTGCCTCTTCATATTTCTTTAGTCTGCCACATATGAAACAGTGAAAGAACCTCTTCTTTCCCTTTAGTCTTAGGCTAGTTATAAGTAGCTGAATTATTATTGGCCTTGCATATAATGGTAGATCTATCTAAAACATGGGTTACTCAGTGTCCAGCCCATTGGCCATTCCTGCAAAGCCATGGCACGTGGCCTGCAGGGCTCCCCACAGGTCATAAATTTGGGAGCAGGGATGCAGTGGCAATACCACCACCCACCCCAACCCCGTTTCAAATTCTAATCCCCCTCCCCGCCAAGTGCTGCAGGACAGGGTCCAAGCCAAGCCATTCCCCCTTTCCCTCCGCTGGGGTGGGTTGGGGCCTGGCCACCCCCTATTCTCCCCTCTCTACAGAGCCAGGTTGGGCCTAGGCCATACCCCCTCCCCACTCAACCGGTGGGGCTGGGCCACACCCCCTGTCTTCTTCCTCTTCCTCCCTGTGTGGCCAGATGGGGTCCTGCCTTGCCCACCCTGGGCACCAGATTGGGGCCACCAGCTGAATCTGGCCCGCGGACAGACTGGGCACTGCCAAACCAGCTCACCGGGCAAACAGGTTGGGCACCACTGGTCTAAAAGAAGGACACTTATGGGCTGTTTGTTTTGCCCCACAAAGTTCTCTGCTTCAGGGAAGTATGAACAGGTCCCAATAGGCAGCTCCAGAAAAAAATCTTTGGTAGCAACATTGTAGGGCAAGAACCTGAGAGATCTTTACCTAATGTCTTCCCAGGTGAGGTAATGTGCCAGTAGAGATTGCCTTAGTGTTGAAGCCTGTGCCAGAATCTTGAGCTGATGAAGGAGATAATCCCCATTTAAAGATAATGCTCATGCAAGTCTAGTCATTCTAAAAAGCTGCACTGAGAAATAAAGAAGGGATCTGGTCTGGTTTGTCATGTGCAAAAGTCTTCAGTGGTGCAATTGGATACAACAGGGGTACCAAAGATATGGCCCATGGGATGGATCCAGTCTGCGGAGTACCATCATCCGGTCCCCAGTGCTGCCTCTGGGTCTCAGAGTTGATCCACATACAGCAAATGGCACATGTCAGACTGGCCCTGCACACAGTGCTCACTCTGGCCAGCCTAGGACCCATGCTGCATGTAGTGCCCACCCTGGGCAGGCCAGGACAGGGGCCATGTGGCACACAGATCCTGAACTGGGTGGAGTGGACACTGTGCTGCACATGTCCAAGATGGGCCCGGCTCAGGCATTGCATGCAGCGCAGTCTAGGTGTGGGGACTGCTTGTGCTGGGTCCAGCATAGGGAAGGGTCCATGGGCCTGGCCCAGGCCATGGACCAGCCCTGTGCAAGTCATCTGGCTAACAAAGCCAGATGTGATTGACACCTCTGGGAAACACGGTTCCTGTTGGTTCCAAGCTTGATGCTGTAAGTTTCTCAGAACTGAGAAAAGTGGTTTCTTTCCCATTTTGCTGCAGCTCTCCTTCAAGGGAAACTTTGTTTTCAGGCACAGGAAGACTTTTGGAGCTTTGGTTGTCAGTGCAGACATTGCCAAAATTAAGTTTTATCTAGCCTTTTTTTCTCTACCTGTACTTCATTACTTGGGCTATTGGTCCTGTGGCTTTACTCCCTACTTACACAGGTGGGAGAGAAGACCTGGAATGATTCCTCTACTCTGGACTCTTGTTGGTGTTTTCAGTTGTGACAGGCCATTTCTTAGGGTAGCTAAGTCCTGTAGCTCATCAATGGGGTAACTGCCTGCAATTCAAAGCCTGGTTATCTTGCCTACCTCTGCTTCTAGATGTTTTGGTGGGGGGTTTTTTAGTGTCCCCCTCATGAAAAGCTATAGGGATAAAAGGACATATTGGAAATAAGTGTCATTCAGGTAGTGCCAGAATCTTACAATAGAGGGAGGAAGGGTCTTCACTCTGTTCTTGATCTCTTAAATTGAATTTTGCCTCTGTTCTTAACCCTTAAGACTGGTTCGGTTTTTTAACCTGTCCATTTTCTTACCTCCACATTTCAATAAGTACAAGCAGTGCCAGTACCTGATATGCAGCAGCCATTAGTTAGATGAGGTAATAGCCCGAAAGCCAACAGCTGTTGACTCAGAGGAATTCAATTTACAGTGGGGGAATAGATCATGCCTTACAGCAGATTTGATGCTTTTTCAGATTTCTGATCTCCCCGTAAATAGTCCATTTGCTGTCCTTAGTTGGCTCAGCTTTCTCCAGCAGAAGAACCAGATGATGTAAGCATACCCCAAATCCCTTGATCCAGCAATGTGTGTGCTAAGGTTTAGGACAAGATGTTTTTTCCTGTATGAAGAGATCAAGCCCTGTTCTATTGGAGGCCAGAAAACATTTTGCTAGGAAGTTTTACCACTTAATGGAACAGAGGATTTTTAAGTTTCTTAAATTTTAAATGCTTTTTTTTTTTTTACAGTGACTTGTGTTGTCAACTGTATCTCTGGAAAAGCTCATCTGCATGAAAAAGACTGAATCCATCATGTATTAGCTGAGGTCTTAAATATTGTGATGCTTGTTTACCTGCTGATGTGTCCTGTTCAGTGGCAATGTATATGTGTCTCGTGCAAAGTGTATCAGAGGGCTTGGAAACATTTAAGAATTTCCTGAAGGCTTTTCTCGATACTTTGAATGCTATAGCAAGGGCTTTGGCCAGAGTTGTCAAGTTCAGGTGTGTCAAGCCCCGGCAGATGCAAATGAATTCAGTTAATTCCTTTACAAATCGCTTGTAGAATTCAAAATAATGCATTAGTATGCTCAGAATAAACTGCTCCTACACAACTACACTGACATACTTCACTTTCAGGCCATGCTCATACAGTTTCTGAAGTTAAAGAATGACTAGACAGAACAGGATATTTAAGTCATTGGTCTATGATGTGTTGGGTTTGAAAGAATTGCATATACCACCTTGTTGCTTAAAGTTCTGTGGCTATATGGTAGACCAGCAATCCCAGTTGTAAGGTTATGCGGGCAATATATTTGGAGAATGAGAATTGCTATTGATAACTTTTTTTTCTGATATGATTCAGCTGCTTATTTATGACCGCATTCCTTCAGGTCATCTACTTTATAGAATCATAGAAAGTAAGGATTGGAAGGGACCTCAGGAAGTCATCTAGTCCAAACCCCTGCCCAGAGCAAGACCAGCCCCAGCTAGATCATCCCAGCCAATGTTTTGTCTAGCCAGACCTGAAAACCTCCAAGGATGCGGATTCCACAACCTCTCTGGGTAACCTGTTCCAGTGCTTTACTACCTTCCAGTGAGAAAATTCTTCCTAATATCTAACGTAAACTTCCCTTTCTGCAACTTGAGACTGTTGCTTTTTGTTCTGTCCTCTGCCAGCACTGAAAACTGGCTAGCTGCATCCTCTTTCAAACCCCCCTTCAGGATGCTATTGAGTCTCCCCCCCTCAATCTTCTCTTCTCTAGATTAAATAAGCCCAGTCTTTCCTCATAAGTCATGTCCCCCAGCCTCACCATTTTTGTTGCCCTCCGCTGGACTTCTCCAATATCTCCACATCCCCATATGTAGTGGAGGACCCAAAACTGAACACGCTACTCCAGATGTGGCCTCACCAGTTCTGAATAGAAGGGAATAATCACTTCCCTTGACCTACTGGGAACACTCCTACCTGTGCAGCCCAGTATGCCATTAGCCTTCTTGGCAACTAGGGCACACTGCTAGCTCATATTCAGTTTATTGTCCACCATCGACTTTTCTGCAGAGCTGCTGCCCAGCCAGTCAGCCCACAGCTTGTACTGGTACATGGGATTATTCCATCCTAAGTGCAAGGACTTTGCACTTGTCCTTGTTGACAAGGTTCCCTATAAGCTGTGCGCATGCGCAGCTGCACACAAGAAGAAGTCTTGCTGCACACTATTTAATGCTGCGCACCTGCCCCAACCCAGCCACAGGCTGCTGCAGAAGTGTGGAGGGGCAGGCACACTGAGATACCTGTGCATTCCCAATCCGGATCACCAGCATGAAGGTGCCTGATCTTTTTGTGGGGAGCTAGGGGTGCTGGCTATGGGTTTCTGATAGTCCTGGTGGGGAGCTGTGAACCCTCTTGGTGGGGTTTGGTTCAGGAGACTGCCCGGTTGCTCCAGATGGAGCAAGACAGGAGCCCGGGCAGCCTGTGCCGAGCAGAACGTGATAATGGAGGCATGGCTACATGCAGCTGGTCCCAGGGAGGTAGGAGGCAGCTCTCTGGGGACAGAGTTGTGTTTTAAAAAGCTCACATGAGCACTACCTCAGAGGTGCCCCGAGCCCACTGGCTGACCTGCCAGGGCTGTAACATTCATCATGGCTCTAGGCTCTCTGGGAGGGCAGGGGAGGGGAAGGGGTGGATCTTTGCAGCTGCTTTCTCTCTGATGCTGTGCTGGAGAGAGAGAAACCTGCCTGAGCATGGGCAGAAGCCAGACAAAAGGTTCCCCAGCTTCCCAGGCTGCAGCACATTTTCTTCCTCCTCCCTGCACCTGATCCTGGGAGCCCAGGAAAGCAGCTGCAAGATGACTGAAAGGCAGCAGTGGTGCATGCAGCAACGCTCCTGAGCTGTAAGTCCCATCCCTTAGGAGAAGCAGCCCAGTAGCTGGCTTCCTAGACAGCCTTTCTTTCTGGACGTGCCTAGCTCTGGGACCTCCAGGAAACACAGCAGGTATCAGTGTTCCCTCTAAGCGGCTCACGGACCATCAGACCTTAGAGGGAGCATTGCTTGTTGAACCTCATGAGATTCCTTTTGACCCAATCCTCCAATTTGCTGAGGCCACTCTGAATCCTAGGCCTACCTTCCAGCATATCTACTACTCCCCCCCAGCTTGGTGTCATCTGCAAACATGCTGAGGCCATCTTCCATCTCTATGCCATCTTCCAGGTTGTTGATGAAGACATTGAACAAAACTGACCCCTGGGGCACTCCACTTGATACTGGCTGCCAACTAGACAGAGAGCCATTGATTACTAATCTCTGAGCCCGATGCTCCATCCAGTTTTCTATCCATTCATCCAGCCTGTACTTCCTTAGCTTGCCTGCAAGAATGCTGTGAGAGACCATATCAAAAGCCTTGCTAAAATCAAGGTACACCACATCCACCAGCCTCCCCACATCCACAGATCCAGTCATCTTTGTCATAGAAGGTGATCAGGTTGGTCAGGCGTGAATTGCCCCTGGTGAATCCATGCTGACTGGTCCTAAATACCTTGTTCTCCTCCAAGTGCTTAGAAGTGTATTCCTTGAGGATCTGCTCCATGATTTTTCCAGGGATTGAGGTGAGGTTAACTGGTCTGTAGTTCCCTGGATCCTCCTTCCCTTTCTTAAATATGGGCACTGTTTTTCCTTTTCCAATCACCTTGGACCTCTCCAGATTGCCATGAGTTTTCAAAGATGATGGCCAATGGCTCTGCAATCACATGAGCCAACTCCCTCAGCACCCTTGGGTGCATCCCATCCAGTCCCATGGACTTGTACATGTCCAGCTTTTCTAAGTAGTCCCTAACCTGTTCTGTCAGCACTGAGGGCTGCTCCCCTTCCTCCCCAGACTGTGCTGCCTGGTGCAGTAGTCTGGGAGTTGATCTTGCCTGTGAAGACTGAGGCAAAAAAAGGCATTGAGCACTTCAGCCTTTTCTGTATCCTCTGTCACAAGATTGCCTGCCCCCATTCTCCCAATTATGATTTTTTCTCAATAAGAAACACCCATGATACCATGTGGGGATTATGGCTAGATCTACAATGTTCAAAGATACCAAAGTCTCATTTTTAAAAGAGATTTAGGCATTTAAGAACTTAACGAGTCTTTGTTTTTAATAACACTTGTATTCTGAAGTACCTAAGTTATACCTGGAATTGTAATTTTATGTGCTTTCAAAAAAAGTAGATCAGAATATTGATAAAGTATCTGCTTTATATCATTAGCCAGAATTACCCCACAGCTTTTTCAGCTTTTAAAATTATGTTAATTATAACCTTTTCAGTTTTGACTTGGAATGCTTTAGCACTCAGCTTTCTAATGAACTGTCAGCCTGTCAGAATAATGGCATGATCCAGTGCAACACAGAGACAGGAGACCTGATCAGCTGTGGATGAGGGTGGCATAAACACTGTAGGTGTTGCATTTGCTGGAACTTTTGGGGCTGTGTGGTATATTTATCTGAGCACCTTGAATAAAATATATGAACTTCATCTGAAAAAAAGAAACCAAATAAGGGGAGAGGTCCAGCAATAGAATCTGTTATAATTCTAGAATTATATAAAAAGCAGAAGTTGCTACAGTTGCTAAAGAATCAATAGAGGATATTTGCCTCGGATAGCTTGAGTGGGTTTTGTAGGTATTTTTGCATCTTGCCCAGAGCAGGTATAACAAGGTAGACTGTTTTTCAGATCATCCAGGTCTAGAAAACGTAATACAGATTGAGAAGTTTCAAGAAAAGGCTTACATGGAGTTCCAGGACTATGTAACAAAAGCATATCCAGATGATACTTACAGGTATGTAAATTTGTGTAATCATCTGCTTGATTATCCTTTTTGTTTTTGTTCTTCATAGCATCAGTGACCCCGATTTGTAAAGTACTTCAGTTTTAAGGAATCGGGGGGTAGTTAGATATCCGAAGGCAGGCCAGGGTCGCACTTTAGGCCCCTGGTACGTTACATTTAAGACAGGATTAACAAGTTAAACGTGTCTTCAATAGTAACTCTGGCTGCACATTAATTCAATTAATGGTGTGATAAAATGGAATAAGCCACAAAATTATTACACAAAATACATGTAAGATCTTTGGGGTTGGTTCCCATCATGCCTAAATTGAATGTGTAGCCAGGCTGATCAGCTGATTGGGGCTCTCAGCTTAGGGAACACATCAGAGTCAAGAACCCTACTGCACCCTCAGTGCTAGGAGTGAGGATTACTGCTCTCAGCCTCAAGGACATACCAGAGCCCTTGGCTCCAGTGCACCCCAAAAACAGAGCATCAGTCGTATGATTGGCACTCAGCCTCAGGGGTGCATTGGAGCTCTTGACTCTGCTCTTGAGGCTGGGAGTGTCAGTCAGCTGACTGGCTTGCTACTTGCTGGTGTACGGGGAGCCCAGGATCATGAATCCATGGCTCCCTCTGTACCATTATTATGGCACAATTGGGATCCGATCTCCAGTCCCACAATTGGTCCTCCTGCCATACACATGTAGCATGGCAGGAAGCACAGTTGTTGGGATCATAGATCAGATCCCATCGGCTAGGAACAGACATTACACATAAATTGGTTTAAGTTATCAGAAACTGGTTTAAATCTGTAACAGAACAGATGTTCAGTGCACATAGATCAGTTTGGCTGAAACTGGTTTGATATAAACCTGGTTGAATGTAGTATCAGACTTAACTGATTTGGCTTAAACCAGTTCATGCAATGTCTGTCCCAGACCCCTTGCTGGTTTAAGATAAAGCAGAGTCTCCCAGCATCCCTGCATGCTCTCTGTGCTGGGCAGGGCTGACCCCTCCCTTCTGCTCCCTGGCTGCAGCTCCCCCCACTCCTCCCCCACAGTCCTTAAGGAGGAATCCCCCCCCCTTGCTGAGAGGTGTCTCTGTATTAGCTAGCAGACCATATGTTGGTTACATGGGTGCTGAATCAACAGGCAGAATCAACAAGTAACTGGTAATGTCCCTGTTTTCTTAATTGGGTGATAAACACTGTTATCAGTTCTCTGCTGGGCTAATCGGAGCTCCTCAGCTCCATGCTGTGGAAGGGAAGGCTGCTTTAGCACCCCGCAGCTTCTAGCCCGAGCCACTGCAGGCATGTGCCTGCATTTCTGGGATGTCTGTCCTGTTACGAAACTGATTTAGCCTAGCCAGGTTAGACTAACCTGCAAAGATTGAATCAATTCAGGCTCAGGCTTTTTGAATGGCTGTCCCTAGCCATTGTGCCTTTAACTGAAGGCCAAGGGCTTAACTGGTTCAGAGGGGCATGAGCTTTCATAGGCAGCAACGTATGAAACAACCCTTGTCAGATGTATGTATGTTACTTACTTCCACAAATTTAGAAATGTCTTGATGCATTTTCAGTAATAAAAGTGTTTATTTGTTGAAGTTTAAAACTGAACTGTAATTACTGGACTATTTGTAGGCTTGGTTCCTCCTGTAGTTTTATTTTGTGTGCTACAGACCCTAACGTGCAATCTATACATGGTGAAATGCCTACTAATACCTTTGGACTGTCACAGTGCAGTATGATCACAGTTTCCACAAGCTAATATTTGATCTCTCTGAAACTGACCTTTTTATTGAACTTTTACCAACAGCATAACCCAGCAAGTTTTTTGTTTCTTTTCTTGCTGATAACACAACAAGCTAACATCAAAATGAAGCCCCTCTGCCTGTACAACTTGTGTAACCTTCTTCTGCCAAACATGTTTTTCAGGCTGTCTAGACTTCTTCTCAGACTGCCTGCACTGAGATTGATGAGTGCGGCCATCACAGAAGAACTGTTCTTTGCAGGATTAATTGGAAACGTTCAAATTGACAGCATCATCCCATATATTCTTAGAATGGAGACAGCAGACTACAACTCTCAAATAATTGGTCATGCTGTATAAAAGTGGAAACCAAGGATTTTATACCGTGGCAGTCATGGTATATGCATACTCTGTCTCCAAGAGATGGCAAGAAGCCTTCCCATGCAACTTTAAAAGAAGGCTAAAATTTTTCCTTTTCAGCCCACTTGGGAAATGCAGTGGAGTGTCTTAAGGAATGTAGGACGGCTTCCTTTATGCATCTGGTTTTCAAGGACATGTAAATTACTTAGCATCTAAAGAAAATCAAGAATTGTTCATCCTATTTTTGTAGATAGAGGAACCCAACATATTTGTTTATGAATCCCAAAACAGAAAACTCCAGCCCCCTGAAGAAGAAACACAAAGCCTTGACTGAACTAAAATGTCACAACCTAGTCTGATGTGTTAAGCTAAATAAATGAACTTTCTTGGAATTGTGTTTTCAGTGTTTTGCTACTAGTCCATTCTCACTGACTGAATGAAACAGGCTGGTCAGAAATCTTGAAAAGGCCAAAGTATTTCTGTTGAAATGAATCCTTTTTAATAAAATTCACTTTTTTAGCAACTTTGGGAAGAGCTGAAGTTCTTGGTGAATGAAACAGTTGATATCATTAAAAGTACAGGGAAATCATAGAAAACTCACTGCTTTTTTAAATGTTCTGTGTATACCTCGATACAGTTGGTTAAAGTGCACATCCGTTGCCAGCAATGAGATCCATATTGATGACTACTGGTTTTCTGGATATCAGGGGGCTAATACATTTTAATGTTGTATAGTGGTGCGTAGCAGCTAGTTGTTTTATACTGTGGAAAACTAATGTAAGAATAAACTCTTTCCCCAAGGTAGTTTATGATGTCAATTTCCAGTTGTATTTTTCTAACTGAATACCTTCACTATTGTTTGAGCGTAGAATACGGACTGGCAGGCCATCACAGTGCTATTCATCCTGATCTGAAGCCTGGGTCCCAGAAATGCAGGTTTTGGTCTCTTCACCGATGTTTGCCTCTCCTAAGATTTTGCATAAAATCCATAGGCAGATCCAGGATTTCGAAAAGAGAATCGCAACCAGTATAGCAAGGGTGACTGCATCTCCTACTTCCAGACCACCCCACAAGAGCAACAGTGAGGGACATTTTTTAAGTCCCCAAATTGTGTATCTCAATCGATTCCCCCTTCCCTTTCATGCTCAGCAGCACTTCACCTCCCCTTCCATTCCCCCCACGCCACACTTAGGCCTGTGGCTGTGCGAAGGGGGGTGCCACCTGCTGCTACAGCTATCCCAGCTGTTCCCGCCCTGCCTCAGCAAGGCTGCAGGAAAGCAGCTGCATGGCGTCAGACGGGCAGTGGTGAGTGCATTCCTGCTCCATGCCCCAGCTGCCAGGCTGGCAGGAAACACCTGGGGGCCTCTGGAGGTCCCCCTCCCCCAACTCAGCTGGGAACAACCTCAGTGGGAGTAGGGAGAGGGGGATGGGAAGGAAAGGGAAGTGACACTGAGCATGGGAAGAGAGGGGTGCTGGAAGAGAGAAAGATCCTTTTCTGCTTCAGGGACTTAAAGAATCCCTGGCTGCTGCTCCTGCAGTGTGGCTTGAAATGGGGAGGGGCGGGAGGTGCGATGGCACCACAGTATCCCCTCTAGATCTACCTCTGCATAAATCATTTCCAGTTCTTAGAATACAGATTCATGCTTCTGAAAAGGAGCTTTCAGACAATTGATTTGTTTAGTAAGATAGATAATCCTAAACTCTTAAAACAGATCCAGGAATATAGGGATTGTTTAATTCTTACATCAGTATTGTTCACTTATTTGCAGCTATTTTAACTTCTAGAAATCTGCAAGTTAAGATTGGAGGTTAGGTTTTAAACCTACTGCTGCTCAGATAAACGGACCACCTTCCAACTCAAGCCCTCTGCTTTTCTAAAAACCTGCTGACCAAAAATGACCAGATAATCTCTTGTTACTGCCAGTCCAATTTGTTTTCAGTTCCATTCTAGTGAATAGTTTTTCTGAGCCGCTCTGATGTTGGAGAAAGACTAGCCATTTTCATTCTTGAATTGTACTGTCCAATAGCATCACTGCACCGATTACCAAAAATTAAAACATGGAAAGTTGCTGTTCCGTGAACACTTAGAGACATTTTTCTTAAAGTCTAGCTGGATAAGACTTTCCCCCACCCTTCTTCTCTCCCAGTACATTAATTTATTTTCAGTGTTGAGTCTTCACAAATCTGACTGGCTTGTAGCCAGTCTAGACTTACCAAACTCTAGTGTTTGATTAGCCGATAAAGATGGCCCTTTTGTCAGTTGAGGGGTAGGATTATTTTCAACAGCTTTATCATTTTTGATTTACAGAGCAAGAAAAATGATTTTTAGTAAAAAAAAAAAAAAAAATTTGAATGGAAAAATTAATAGTTTTATACATTTCAGAATCCCATCAATTAAAGGTGGGAGCACTGTTCTAAATAATGAACTGAGTAGTTAAAAAAAACAAAACAAAACATTTTTTTTTCTTAAAAATGTATATTGGACATATCTACATATAACTAGTTAGTGTATTTTTTACTGAGGGTATTTACTCCTACAGCTTATAGTTACATTTTCAGCTATTTCAGAAGAATTTTATTGCACTGTCAACTGCAACAACAAACCTGTCCTGTCACTACACTTGTTCTGTCTTTGATCTTGAGTGTCAGTGGAAGTCATTAGCTTGGTCATTTTGTTCCATTTCTACAACTTAACTGGTAGTTGAGTTTTAATGTAAGCATTGGAATGTCACAGTAATTGTCTTGTTGTTGTATAAAAGCTACTGTAAATGTCTTGAAACTTGTCTAAGATTGTAAATTCTATTTTGGCTGTATTTTTTAAAATAAATTGTAACTTTTTATTATAGACTACATAACACATCAGTTTGTTAGTTTTTAATGAAAACAGACATTGACCAGATCAGTGCATTCAGTTGTAGAGGGGCTGTCCAATGACGTTCACACTCTTATTAGGCGGTGTAATATTGTCATGTACAATACTGGTATTTTAACTGTTGCTGGTATCTCACCGTTATCCCTCAGTTTTATAACCTTTCTTTTCCAATTAACCTTTGGCTTCTGTGGTTCCTATTTTTTAGCCACTGAGTTTGGGTATATAATAGATTTGCTGCTTTATAATAAAACTTTGACTTAGCAGCACAAGATGGCTCATGGATTGATGGCTAATACACTACTTGCTGCAGTGAATTCTAATAATGGATCTTCAGGTCACATGTTCTGTTGATGTATGTTTTAAGGATGTTTATTCAGTGCTTCTAGAGCTAAAAGAGTAAGGATCAGTCTTAGTTTGGATAGGAAATACAAATGCAATTTTCAGCAGTTTTGATTCTGGTCTTGGTTTATATTGATTTTAAGTGTGATTGAAGAAATTGCTGATCTACTCTGGGCTCCGTGTTTAATGTTATAAAGTCCCTAGGATCCTTCTCCACCTAGAATTGCTGGTAGGCTTCATACTGGTAGCCTAAATACTTTAAATAAAAACATTATCTTTATGTTTTTTTCAGTCAAAGGACAGGTTTTTGAATGTAAGCTAATTCAGTGTCTGCCTGAGACTGCAGAAAACCTGCAATAAAACCCCAAGTGAAATTCCATCTGTTTCAAGAAGTTCTTAAGCCTGAAATACATGTCCCAATATAAATACCTGTATGACCTATCTGCTGCCCGTTTTCTTCACGGCAGATGCATCCAGTCAGTGTTGAGTGTAGTGAGAGATCTGGGTGACCGGTTGCAAGAGCAGGGAATAGAGTTGGAGCAACTGTCTGCTAGCTGCCAAAAGCCAGGTTCTTCTCAACCTTGTCACAGAGCCCTGTTCTCCAGCTACCTCACCAGCTGCAGTGCTTCCTCTCTCTCCACCCTGCTTCTCAATCCATGTTCCTTCCCACAGCCCTCCAACACATGTAACTTTAAATGGAGGGCTGAAGAAGAGTGGTTTTGACAGGAGTGCTTCCCTGGTGAATAACAGAAAACAGCTGGAGCACAGCTTCCCTCTAGCTTTGGCTCCTTTCTGCCACAGTAAAAACACTATTTCTTCCACCATTGTTTGCTTCCATATGCATCCACTTTCCTTCCATACTTTCCCCCTGCTCTTTCCTACTCTCCCCCTGTACTTTTAGCATATTTTTAACTCGCCATCCATCCATCCTTTTTAACTCATCCCTTCCTCGTCCTGCCCCCTTGTTTAATTTCTCTCAAGCATAAGACATGAAAACATTGATACCTTTCCCTTCTATTAGCATTCACATGTGAGGCCCTCCTAACCTCATATCTATTTAGCTACAACTGGTACATTCAACAGCAGGCACTTTGCTCAACAGGCAGGCATGGGCAGCCTTGACCCATGCTCTTTTCTCCACCAGCTGCAAAGCTGAGCTACCAAGAATCAAAGGCTGCACACGTCTTGCAAGCTCACTACTACCTGTCCTTCCCTCTGTGGACATAAGGAACAATCGATTGCCACTCTTTTATGACAGGGTTTTTAGTTGAAGACTATTATAGCCCCCCTCAGTCTTCTCTTTGCTAGATGGAGAAAAGGGGGGAGAGGGAATAAACACAGAGACAACTGTAAGTGCAATCAAAAAAAAAATTGCAGGGATCAGCTCAGCTGGGCAGCCAGATCTGCACAAAAGTGCCTACAAATTCTCATGGTGAAATCCAAACACCATGAATAAGTCTTGGTTTTGTTCTCTGCATTTTTCTTATAGCTACCAGACTTGGCAATGCCATGTTGCTGGCACTGTCCCCCGAAGGGAAACCATGGCATGGCAAGACGGAAAATGAGATCTGCTTGGTTGGATTCCTGCAAGTCTTCCTACAATGGCAAGTAGTAAGATGCCAAGATGTTTATCACAGCAGGATGCCTCTCCTTTGCGTTTTGAAGGTGCCACCTCTCAGCCAGGCACGGCAGCGTCATGCCACTGGTTTTCACACTAAACGTGGTTTGGAAAGGGCGTGCTGGCACGTCTCTGCTGTGGCCTGTGGCTCCCGAGCATTTTTCTCCCACCAACATTTTTTCTTTTTTGTTAGGTGAAACTGCATTTGTACTTGTTACTTTGCTCTGAGGTAGCTAGCAGGGTGCTCCTCCGCTGAGAGCCACAGGATGCATTGAAGGGTGTCGGACGAGCTCTGCATGAGTCTAATGGAGGGCGGGGGGAGTTCATCCCAGGACGTAATGACATCCGAAGTGGTGGTGCTGGTCAGTTAGGAGCGAGGGGGCGTGGGCTTTACCTCAGGAAGGCAAGTACCGGTGACTCACTAGTACAGTTGAAACCCCCGCTGGACTGCTGCACAAATGGGATGCAGCGTTTACTAGAGATTGCAACAAATGTCCCCCCGTTCATCTCCCGGGGCCTCCGCAAGCTCCTGGACGTGCGGACCTTGGCTGGCGGGAGTGGGGGCAGCCTGCACTGAGCACCACCTCCCCCTCAGCTTGGCCGCCTCCTCCCCAGAACCGTTCGGGCGGGCGGGAAGATGGACAGCGGCTTGAGCCCAATCAGTGAGCAAGCTCTCGGACTTCCTCCCAATCAACTGTCCGGCGGGGCGGGCCCCGCCCAGCAACCGGGGAGTGGCAGCTCTCCAAGCCAATTAAGACGTCGCGGACGAACTCGAACCCTGCGCAGTGGCTGAGGCGGCGCGAGGGGTGTTGCAGCTCCGGCACCAACATGGTGGCGGCCGGGGCCGGAAAAGTGGCGGCGGCTGTGGGGGCGGCGGTGAAGCCCATTTTCAGCCGGGACCTCGGCGAGGCGCGGCGGCGGGTGCGGGAGCTCTACCGAGCCTGGTACCGCGAGGTGCCCAACACCGGTGAGGGGCGGGGCGGAGTCAAGGTCACGGGCGGGGGTGGCTCCGCCGTGGCCCCGTGTCCCTTCCTACCGCCCCTGCGCCTGGCGCCCGGGAGCGGCTGCAGCGCTTCTACTCTGGCGGCGCTGGGGATCACGTGACCCCACCCGACTCTACTCTCCGGTGTTAACAACCCTGGCAGCTCCCAGCAGCCCCCGGGGCCTGTTCCCAAGGGCTGGGGCTGTCCACCAGCTCCAGTGCACAGGGCCCGGGCTCCTGACGCCTCTGCTTTCCCACTGCCAAGTGTCCGGACCCACCAGAGAGATCTTCTCCCTATCCAGTGTCTGCTCCGGCAATGGGCAGACAACCTGGTTGGATGCGCCCTTGAGAGACATGAGCCAATGCCCGTCAAAGAAACGATGAGGCTCTTTTAAGGGAGGTCACGAAGGGTGCGTCAACTGGTTTGCTGTATCGCATTGTGGGTGCGATGCATGTGTGCTTGGCACAACTGGGGAGAGGGAAGGGAGCAAAGGGCACCAGTTCATAATGAGGCAGCCGGGAGGGGCTTGGGTCAGGTCACGCTGGCTAGCACCTGCTGCCCCCAAATGAGTCCAAGGAGCCAGTGGGCACAACCCAACAAAACTCTGCCCGGAGACAGGTGTGGAGGAGTTACAGGAAGATGGCCCTGTGCTCGCCTGTGTTCCTCTGCCCAGAGCCTCCTCCCTGGTTGTATAGATGGGCAGCTTGGCCAGGGCCAGGAGGTCCTGGGGTGAGAGATAAGGAGTACATAAAAGAAGAGGTGTGGGGAGAAGTGCAGCTAGACTCTCAGGAGAGGTCCTGAGGTAGAAAAGTGGCCTGTCAGACACAGGCCTATTTGTTGTTCCAGGGAACATGGGCCTAGACCCACCAAAGCAAACTATAAGTTTCCCTTGCAAGGAGGCCACTACAGGTGCCCAGCAGATTCCTTGGGACAAATGAAAAATAATACAGGGTTGGGAGTGAGGTCACAGGTTAATAATAAGTGTGCTGAGCAGGGACCCCGAGCAGAGCACACCAGACACTGCCCACTGGCCCTTGAGTGAGTCCAAGGAGCCAGTGGACACTGCCCAGGGAAGCTCTGCCTGGAGATGTGAGCAAACAAGGGACAGGAAACAGCCCTGCAGTCCTCAGGGGTCCTCCTGCCCAGAGCCTCCTTCCTGGTCAGATGATGGCCTGCTTGGCTAGGGCCTGCAGGAGGTTGGCTAGGAGGTCCCAGGACCTGGTGGGGCCATGGATGCAGAGTGCATAAAGTGTGGGGAGAAGTGCAGCCAGAACCTCAGGAGAAGGTTCATGAGGAGGTGGAAAAGGGGCATATAAAAAAACAAGCTATTGGGCTACACAGACCATTGGACTAGCCTTGTGTGGTATTTCTCATGTTCACTAACCAAGCTAGTCTTTGTACAATGCTGCTCTCTGTCCACTGCTTCTGATAATGTGGCTCCTGTTTCACAGCCCTACAGGCTGTTTTTAAGGCTAAATTAAACCATTGACTTTGGTGCAAAAATAACTTTCAGTGAAGCACTGGATGCATTTTCAAGATGCCCAAGAAGGCTGGATTTTGTTCTGAGTCTGAAAAAGATGTGAATTTAATCATGACTACAGGATTAATGAAACCACAGCTTTTACTTTTGTGTGGCTGTGGCTTTTATAGGTAATATATAATATAGCAAATTTAATGCATATTCCAGTATTTTTTTTTTTTTGCTTCAGTCTTGAACTGAATAATATAGCCATGGGCCCCTCACATAATACTAATACTTCTACTTTCTTTTATCTGGAGCAAAAAGGTATCTTGTGTTTAAATGCAGTGATGCGCCACACCATCCACATCCCTTCTCCACCCTGCCCCCCCTTCAGAATCTTAGATCTGCCTATGATCAAGGTCATTGGTCCAGTGGAAGCTGGGAACCACAGCTCTAAGCATGGCCTGCTGTCTTTTGACTTCAAAACAGGGGCATGAAAAGTAGTCAAGTGGCACACGAGAGTATCCAACAAGGTCTAGGCACTTCCTGCCACTGACTGCTGCTCCGTCTTTTTTAGACTA